ACTTTATAGTCACACTGATAAGAACTATCAGGAATTTATTTATATATATTAAGTATGTATAATGTATGATTATAAATATAAAACAGAAACGATGACAATCTTTAAGTATGTATAATGTATGATTATAAATATGAAACAGAAACGATGACAATCTTTATTCTTACCTCTCCTTCTCCACACTTTTGTATAGAATGACAGTGTCTAGGGGAGACAACTCCGGAACAACTCAAACAATAGAGTCCATCTAGATAAAAATTATTCAATTTCTGTCATGAAATAAATGATCTTTTTTCACAATATATCTACGAGAGAAGCTGCAATGCTCTAATAAGTATACGAAGTATAATTTAAAATGTGTTATACATGGAGTAGATGTATACAGATGTACATACCAATCTCTCCTACTGCAGTTGCAAAAATTACTATAAAGAAAATATTGAAAATCTTGAATGATGTAAAACAAATGCAAATTACAGCAAAAAGGCTTGTAAACTTTTTATATTATAACCAAAACACATACCTAAACTTAAGAGCATTTTAGCACTTCATTTACCTGTTTCCTGTGTCAAGATAAAGAGTTTCGAACTATAAAAAGGACAATCACATAAGAACTGATAATATATAGGTAAATATTTGGAATTACTTATTCGTAATTTATCTGTAATTTGCAATTTGATACCGAAATTAAGATTAAAAATTTTTCGTCTTAATCTAGGTAAATTATTTTCAAAATCAGTTCATTACGAGGGGTGATCAAAAGTTCTTGAATTAATTATATGATTTTCGTAAAAGAAATGATATAGCGTTTCAGTGTTGAAATATTTTCAAAGAAGTCCTCTCCTATTTCAATGGGCATCTGCAACCGTTCTTCTCATGCGCGGATACCATGATATAGGCGGTCACGTGATAAGCTTCTTAGCGTTCTGTCACAGAAGTTAAAAAGATTTTTCCGACTCTTATATTGCTTACCATGCAAGTTATATTTTTTTTACAACAAATACAGTCCATTTGTCAGAAATGTCCACAGCATGGCAATTGAATGGGTAGATAATTATATCTATTTCCAGAATGAGCATGGGATCATCTAAAACCAAGTCCTCTGTCTTTGGAGCGTCGTTTATTCATTGTATGGATTAGTATAGGTGCCTTCCTTTCATCATATCTTATTTGTTTCAAGTCTAAAGGAAACGATATTTTAGGTCTTCAATAGTTATATTATTTTAAAAATATTCAATTATTTTCAAACTGTAGGTTGACGATCTTTCCATATAAAATTGTTTAACAAAGAACACGTCTCTTCCCCAGCATGGTTTCACTGGACGACAGAACAAACATCAGATCTTAAAATCTTCCTTCCTTCACTTAAACAATCAATCCAATTAATGGCCCTAAACTTCTGGCAAGCATTTTGTCTTCATATTCCATGTACAAATTATTATAAACCTCTGCAAAGGAATATCCAAGATATACGTTTGAATTTACAGCCGTTTTTTTTCTGGAATACGAATAAGTTAACGATTTTTTGTCACAAGTGACCTACATATGGACATTTTCACATTATGACGTCACAAACGTCACAAACTAAACGCTTCATTACATATGCTTTTTATAAAATATGAGTAGGACTCTATGTGTGCCAAATTTATTTCTGATATGAATCATAGATTTGTAAATATAGAGATAGTTCGCCAACTTTTTGATCACCCCTTGTAGATATTACAGATACTTTGGCTTTTAAACTATTTTCTTAGGTAATCGATAACATCTGGTTGCCTTTCAATCATGCTATTAGAATTACTTTTTATTAAATTTAAATTAAGGTTTTTTTCTTAAAAATCTTTCTTTTTTTAAGACTTTGTTAATGTTTTAATATAAATATTGTTATATAGTGAAAGGAAAAAGATGCGCAAGGTAAAATTTTGTGGTAAAATAATGTTAAATTCAAACAGATTTCAAATTATTTCTATCTAATAAAAATGCAACCAGATCTCATTTAATTTTTACCAATAATTCATGAATTATTGAAACTTATATGACGGTACGCCAAAAAATGAAAATCGAAACTCTCATTATCTCTCATGTTTTCCTCGTGCATCCCTCACATCCTAGATTCTCCTATGCATGGAGTTCATCAGTATGTTTATTCTTCTAATAGAGATGTTTTCAACCCTTCCAACAAGGTATCTTCAGTTCTGGGATGAATGTAACGATTATGAAAGCTAACCGTTATGACAGCAGTTTTGGGGTAATGAGATTGTGATTATACTGGTGGCAGGATTAAACGTCCGATCGTTACTTGGCGCAATTACGTCAGAGTTCGTTAAAAGCCTTTTGAGACCCTCTCTGACGACGGTTAAGATGTTCTATGGTTAAAGATATCTCAACAAACTGCACAACAACCTGTTGTTACCTTTGTCTTTACTTAAGCAATGCAATAGCAAGACCCTCTGGAACTTCCGTCAACCGTACCATAATTGCAAGAAATGCTCATTGTTTGTAAATATCGAAAGACAATGTGTATTACTTAAATACAGCACGTAATGCTAAGAGATATGTTAAAAACATGTCGTCATCAATATGCATGTGTTTTTGGCTTTTTAGCACTTTCCCTACTTGACGTCATACATTTCACGGTTAAACGATTCTAAACACTAATTTTAGTGAGCATTTAGTAGATATCTGTCTGACCTATTTTTTTAAATTTTCGATTATGCAATCACATATTTTTCACATATTTGTTTGCTAGATATTATCTGCTCTTTTGCTGCTTCTTCTCCTTCACTTCTTCTATCTTTTGAATGTGCTATTAAATTTTCCCTTCTAGCTAGGATACCTATTTTATGTTCCCCTCGATTACAAGATCTCCAGAACATCATCATTTATGTCACTATCGTCCATGTTCTTAACCTCCTCGTCATACTTGCCCAAATCACTATTGTCATCTCTGTCTGATTCTGTTGTATTGTGCTCACTCACCAGGCTGGCATATGTTAACCTGCATTTGTCGCAGTGGTCCAAGCGGAAGAATTTACATGATTTATAGCATTCTTGACTTTACACCTTAACCATGTGATTTTAATCGAGACAAATGCTCTTTGGAATAACATCATAGGCACCTATCTTTCAGTAATTTTGTTGTAAATGGAAGTGAGGTCGTGTTTTCAGGCATTTTGACTTTTGCATATCCTATGCCGCCGGCTGTTGTTCCTGGAGGATAGTACCTTCTGTTTATATGATTGAGGAGTTTTAAAAACTCCCAAAGACTGTTATGTAATTTCAATTTTCAATTTATCTATTTAAGCCAACCGGTGCTGGAAATGAAGAACTTACGAGCTTAATACTATCTCATTACATTCTATTTTTTTAACCTAATTTTTTCCCTTCAAGAAAAATGCAAGGAAGCTTTCCAATCCAATTTCAACTCGTACATATTTCCTGATTTAGGAACACATGTATACTAACACGAGCACCACGTTTAAATGAATCTATTGGATAATTATACCCCCGCTTGAAAAGTTGAGGAGGTGTCCTCCACATTTCAATGTTCAACATAGACTGTTTAACGTGGCGGCCCCACCACAGTTTAATTCGTTAGCGCCACAGTTAAAAAATCAGCGCAATATTTCCGCTACAGTTATATCAGCCTTATAATTAAATCATCTTCAAACAGGAAGATAAAATTATCTATTTCAGAGTTGCGGGGTAAGTAGTTGATGCTTGCTTTACGGGTTTTGAATCCCACTGTAGAACATGGAAATCGGTTCTTCTGAAGAGACCGTATAAACCAGAGTCCCGTCTTGCATTAGATGCTGGCACAAAAAGTATCCCTCACTGCTCCATGAATCTTAGTGCTGAATATAGGAAAAAAAATTTGTTCTTCACCTGCTAGTGGTGCGTCCCAAATTTTCGAGAGAGGCATTAAACAACAAAATTAAACACACAGAAAAACATTTTTATCTATTGTTCTTTAGTATACAAGTTAAACAATCATTCCAAAGCCACCGGTCACGGTAGCCTAGTGGTCGGGAGGCCCAAGTTCGGTTCTGGTTCCCGGCGACGCCAAACCTAAGGCGTAAACATAGGTAGTGACTGTCTCTTCGCCAAGCGCTCTGCACTAAAAGTGAAAGTCGCGGGTCTTTCTGATATGACCTTTAAAACGCAGGTCCCATGTCACGGTAGGCGTTGGTACGATTAAAAATAAACCCTTACTGCTCAATGGTCCACGTGACGTGTATAGGTCTAGATTTAAAGCCCCATCACCGGCATACGGTGACGCTTTTAAATGAGTGAAAAATTCTCGAGTGGGGCGTTATACAAAATGCAATCAATAAATCAAAAGAGAAACAAAAACGTTTTATTCAAACATTTGATGATCGATCAAAGAACACTCAGTCTGACAATATAATTTTTTCCTATGAGCAATAGACTGTTGTTAAACAGAGGGTTAACTAAATATTGAATTTAAAGACAATTTTGTGTCTGTGTGTACATTTCTTAAGACCTTAATCAATGTACTCAGTCTTTTTTAAAATACTTTTAAATAAAGTATACTTGTATTAAACAGATAAAGATACATGCATACATTACTTAGTTTGAATGAAAACAAATACCGGTATGTTTATATATTTTTTTTTACTTTTGTTCTTTTAAGAGGTTTTCTATTTACAATTTGTACGAAGAGTAATTAATTAATGAAGACTTCCTTTTTCTTGAAAAAAAAGCAACTGTAATTCGAAATATTTGTTATATATTTGGATGCTACGTTCGCGTTATCATAAGAATGGATGAATTAATATTTGGAGAGTTAATAATACTAACGTAATAACTATCTGATTTTGGACCATTCAGAAAAATATAGTAACAGTTGTTAAACCACCACCCTCCTTTGTGAGCTGATGCACAGTTAGTGGAACTCAAATCGTTGTCTCTATCGTATGTTGTGAATGGCATTCCATCCATTGAACCGGCAGAATTCGCAGATTTATTGGTACTTCGATCGCCTGAAAAATCGCAAAGTATAAAATAGCAAAAACTAATACATGAATAAATATCCGGTAATTTTAATTGTGACTACATATCGTTCATTTACCAGCAGTTCCAGAGGCCTGTCCTAGAGTAATGGTGTATTTATGGGCTTCAGATGCAATTTTCATGTTGTCAAATTTTTCATACCATGAGCCGCCTTTAATACTTGTAACACCGATATAAAATAGTGTTCGGTGTGGTGTTGTCAAAAGATGAAGGATCTCGTTTCCTGAAGCAAAAAAGGAACACATTGCGAATGGAAATCAGTGATATGATAGACTGTAGTTAATTATTATGTAACAAAGAAACACATAACAAATACCGAGTCGTGTTGTAAAGAATTTAAATGTAAATTAAAAGTTTTAATTCAAAGTTAAATAAATCATCAAAAATATATTGCTTTGGCCAATGATGTTTCAGGGCCGATTTACGACTAAAATTCGCCGTCTGCCCCATTCCCTAAATAAATTGGGAGATTATAAACAAGAGGCCCACGGGCCTTATAGGTCACCTGAGTATTGTACAACAACTTTCAAACAATTAAATTTGGTTCGTGTTTTAAACCAGAGGCCATGAAATTCACAATTCACAATTTTGAAAGAGGCACCATTGCTTATCATATTTAAAGACTTAGCATGGTTACTCTATCTGTAATACGTATTATCCAGAGGAAGATCAGAGTAACACAAGAGAAAATGCACTCCCACATTATAACCAGCTGTGCACCTCATCCAAAAGGAACCACTGAACCTGGGGCCACATATTTCAAAATTGTGCAAATTTTATCACAAATTATTATTTTCAGACTTTGTACCCCTCACCCTCATCCCCGACCCAGGGGGGGGGGGGCATATAAAAAACACTTTGCTACATGCAACTTTCTTCATCATAAATATATATACTTGGATCATTTGCATGAAACACAGGAGCAAAGGAAAGATTTTCAAAGAATTAATGCATTTTCACTATAAAACCAATAGAGCCCCGCCCTAACACCAGAACCCCTGACCTTGGGGTAATAAAATTCACAATTTTTGAAGAAGCACTCTTGCTCATCATAACCATATGCTTGGATAGTTTATTTAATACCCAGGAGCAAAGAAGAAGATTTGCAAAGAATTAATGCATTTTCACTATATAATCAATAGGGCCCCAACCCTAAGACCAGAACCCCTGACCCTGGGGCCACAAAATTCACAATTCTAAAAAAGGCACTCTTGATCAACATTACTATGTACTTAGTAAGTTTATCTAATACCCAGAAGTAGAGAAGAAGATTTTCAAATAATAAATGCATTTTCACTATATAACCAATAGAACCCCGCCCTAACATCAGAACCCCTGACCCCGGGGTCATAAAATTCACAATTTTGGTAGAGACACTCTTGCTTATCATAGCTTTGTGCTTGGTTAGTTTATTTAAAACCCAGGAGCAGAGAAGAAGATTTTCAAAGAATTAACCCATTTTCACTATATTCTATATATATAATCTATATAGCCCCGCCCTAGCTCTAGAACCCCTAACCCTGGGCATGAATTTCACAATTTTGGTAGAGGACTCAATGATCATTACATTCATGCCAACAGTTTGCCTGCTTGATGTCCAGGAGTAAAGAATAAGATTTTTAAAGATTGCAAAAATTTTAATGGTTGTGACCCCACCCCTTAGGCCCAAGGGGGGCAGGGACCATAAAATTCACAATTTTTGTTCCCCTTCACCCATAGATGCTGTATACCAAATTTGGTTGAAATTGGTTCAGCGATTTCAGAGAAGAAGCTAAAAATGTTCAACTGTTAATACACGACGCACGACGCACGACACACGACGACGGACGAAAACGGATAGTAATAGGTCACCTGAGTTACTCAGGTGACCCAATAAAAAGGAACATAGCATGATTTACATGTAAAAAGACTGAATAAAAATCATTTCATTAAACAACCTCTGATGCACTTAAAATTCTAGAGAATCGGCTTTAATAAAGATAATCATGTGCATTCAAAAAGTGCCACTTGATGATAAGATGCTTAATTTTTTGTCAGACAATTAAAAGATGCGGTATAGTACAGTGAAAATTACATTAATAGTGACAGGGTGTAATGCACTTTAATAAAATTTTAATCAGTACCTCATTTTTTCCTATCAAAACTTACCAAGCCAGAATTCGCTAGAGACATTACCAAATCCATTCTTATATTTCTCCCAGTTCCTGTTAAAATTCTCAGTCCAAGGGTACCGCCATTGAAACACCTGCAAACAACTGAGGATCACTTAATGTGCAAGAAAATAAATCAGCATGAAAATAAAATATACCGGTAACTGAAAGCTTCCAATATAAAGAGAATTTCAGAGCACACTCTGCCATTAAGTCAAGATTTTTAAGAGATTTTTTATCAAGTGATTTGAAAATCTTATATTAGGAATGAAAGAAATTCTTTTAAAAACACTCAACTTCTACATTAAATTTAAACTATCGATTTCTTTTTGCACATGTTTAAAGATTTTCTGTATTAAATTATCAGACTTATCATGAAAGTTAGAAAAAAATTAGAAAAATATAGTTAACAAAATTACCGTCCAGCCTCTAAGTTCTACATCCATATTACAGAGGACGTCTACTGACTTCCCACTGGAACCCCAAGGATAAATTTGGTATATGCCCGTGGTATTATTACCATTATGAAAGATTTCCCAGCAATCAAACGGAGAGGGATCTAAAAAATTAATACAAATGCACCAATTAAAATCAGTGAAAGACATATTGATACAAATCCGCTAGGCGTGAAAAATGAAAGCAAAATAATAAATTTTCTCATGCTGCTGGTGAAATTTATTTGAAGCTTATAGATCAAGTTATTATTGTGAAAATCAAATATCAATATGTCGGTGACGGTAACAACACTTATTGAAAGACTTCACAGGTACCAAAAAATGTCTTTGACCAACGAATGATTTTTGCTAAACTAAAATACTCCATTGTATACATGTACGGAAATAATATTTACGTACATCCTGGTTATGATAAGGGTCATTTTCGTTGTCATATACCATAAAATATTATTTTGTATAAAATTAAATTAAGTCTTAAGCGAATACCATGGAGTGAATTTTATCTTTAAAATATTTTTAAAATCTTGTTGCGGTTGGGCAATATGAAAAAAACACACAAACATCTTAAACAGAGTAAGTGACTTACAATTCGTAGACAATTATAAGAGTGTTGCATTCACCAATAAAGACAGCAACATAAGGCATCGGTTTTATCTCTTGCTTTTGTTAGCTGGTTTGTTACATTGTACATTTTTTTACTTTTCAAAATATCTAGAAAAGTATATATTTATGTTGGAAAATGTTCCATACTAACGTTACACACAAGCTTTTTGCGGGTTTAATTTTCCAATAATTAAATGCAAACTAGCTTGCCATCCAGTGACAAGTGTTATGCGTATAAGATTATTGAGCTCAAGTATTTAAAAAATATACTGTATATGAAAAAAGGATTATGACAAATAAAAATTAAGCTCAATAGTGCACTGAAACAGTATATAATTAGAACAGTGCAAGCACCACCCACTGAAACAGAAAGGTGGGATCAGGTGCCATGCAGAAGAATACATCCTCTATTGAGCGGTCAGACCCACTGTGTGCGTCATGTCATGAAGCAAGAAAAATCTTTTAAGATAAAACGAAATTTCTTATCCCTTGGTACTGCACTATGATTCAGATTTATAGCCTTTAAAATTTTACAGGAAAAAACTTACATTTTAAAAGAAATTAAAATTTCTCTGATGACCAAGGAATAGTTTTTTGTCAAATCGTACAATTTGTTATGATCGTAAGTAACACAATTTGTCACTAAAGTACTTCATATATAAGACTTAAAAATAATCGAAGGAAAAGTTTGTTTTATAAAAAAAAAAAACAACCAAATAAATCATATAATTTTTCAAAAATTGAAAAAAATATATATTCCTAAGTTCTAGTATTGTGGTGACGAAAAGGCATTTTTCTATTTTTTTTTTACAGAAAGTCAATGTAAAAGGAAAATAACAAAGTTGATATAACATATTATTTTTATGTTAAATGAAATGATAGCGAAAAAGAACTTAACATGTACGAGGGTGGTCCCAAAAAGTCGTAGACAATGTTTTAACTTTGTTAATATTCAACCAATTCTAAGCAAATTTTCATAGACATAATTTATATTCAATTTTCTTTAAAATTGTGGTTTAAAATGTAAATATATATTTTTTATATTTATAATATTGGGACCATTATATGAAGTCTGATATGATCTGTCGGCACACGAACAAAATTTGGAATAATTTAAGCATATAACTATTGTACTTGCTTTCATTCATTGGTACTATGTAAAACGTTGAACTCAAATTTAATTCAGTGAAACCAGAATTCAAATCTGAATAACATGTCAAATTTTCATACAAATATCCTTAAAACAGACGATTGATGTCATGATTTTAACAGAAATTGTAGGAATTGAGCTTGATGAAAATGACGTCGTCCAATGCGTAACTGGCGCACGGGATGTACATTGTTTTGGATATGGTTTGTATACCTCAGAGATGGGACAAAAACAGTACATGTGACAATACAAAGAAGGGACGTCCAGGCCGATGAAAGGCGTAAAAACAATGTGTATTTTCTGCTGCCTTCATTTAAGGTGATCCTTTCGACTACACTATGACTGAAATTTGAATCTGCTAACAAAACGAAATAAGAAAAAAAAAGAAACGGACGGTAGTGAATACAAATAGGTTTGGCACTTTTAATATTTTTGGATGTTAAGAGACGCCTGTGAAGCTGAATAAGAGATCATGGCGTTATAAGAGAGGTAAATTACGCTTGCTTTCGTATGTCGATGAACAATCATACTTCTTCATAATTTTCTTATTAAATGTGATATCATAAAAATTTAAATGCATGATCATACCATTTTACATTTTGCTATGACAAGATAAGGACTTGAATTTGGCAAATAGAAACTAAATTGTTTCCCTGTCTATTCTGTTTTGTTTTGTTTTTCAGAGTTAAGAAATTGTTTGATAATATTGGGACTTACTAAAAAGGTTTTGACGCTAAAAAGAAAGAATTTGTTATGGTTCTTTTGTCTAGTTTGAAGAGACATTTTGAAATATCAATAAAGTAGGGGCTAATTAAAAATAAAATCGAGCTATCTTTGCAATAATTGATTCTTTCAGATGTTACCGGTAAGTAGTAATGAAATTTCACAGAAACAGTTTTCTTAAAGATTCCATTATATTTTTTTAGTTAATTTCTTCAAAAACAAGCAGTACCTCGTCATATGTCTGCAAAATATATTTTTGGACTGTAAGACCAAAGTAAATAGTAAAAGTAATCCCAAAGGGGACAGAAGAAGACCATAGGCGAAATAGATAATTATGAACAGCTACTGTACATTGTTTTATACGAAGGTGATTATGGGCTATAGACGTCACACAATGTTTCTGAAATATCTGCAGTTTTAAATTAAAAAAGAGACCAGAAATTACTTTATTGATTTTTATGCTGGATCAGAAATATGAGTGTATGAATGTTTATACTGAATGAATAAGGTAACCATAACTCTATAGTATCAAACACTGAGGTTGAAATGTTGTAAAATGAAAACTTACATTACTTACTGCATCATAAGTGATTTCAAGATATGTCCGATTAAAGCAACCAAACTTTTATAAATTTACAAAATTTTGATATATAATTTTGATAACTTTTTTGTCTTTCTTAATGTGTAAAATGTTGTCTGATTGATTTGTATTTTTTTTGCAAGAACTCCGAGTAACTTTTGAACGACATACTAATTTTAATATTAATAAACATACACTTCAGTGTTGTAGTAGTTGAAGGCGTTGTGGTTGGAGTTGTTGACATAGTAGTTGTTGTTGTCAATGTCAATGTCGTTGATGGAAAAGAGTCGATACCTTAAATAATATAGCAGTTACAATTATTGGAGTAAATATTCCTAACATTTCTGTTCAGGCGATGATTACTTTACTTTAAGGTGGTGGTAAAATGTATCTGATGAAATGAGACGTCAAGTGAGCAAAACAAATTCATACATCCTAGGTTACAAAGATCAGAGTCACAACACTTCAGACAACGTTCAACTGATCTCTTTCCAAAGATGTTTGGGCTTCCACTGTCACATATCTGGAAAAGAAAGACTTTTACTGATACATTGGTAAATTCAGAACTTATAATACCTGTAAAATTAGTTCGGTAGTAGATTATCTTAACGATATGAAATCATTGTCAACTGGTTTTCATACTTTATTGTACTAATCAGGGAAAAAACTTTTCATCATTAATTTTATAATTTGCAATTTCAGGAGCAATTTTTCAAATTTTGATGAAATATTCCAACAAATAGATCAGATACGTTTTGTTTAAGATTATATTAAAAGCGTACATATTAATTTGTTTTCCAAGTTTTAATTTCAGGGATATGACACATAAGAAGATATTCTGTTAAAAGATTGAAAAGGATATTTAAATATCGCAAACAATTACATATTTTAGACGAAATGACCGATTTCCTTGAGTATCAATCTATGTTTCAAAATCGAACTGCTGTGATTGCTAGATTTTTTGTTTTTAATAAAACATGTTAGATAATCTGCAAATGTAAGGGTGAGTATCAGAATTGAATACAATTTTATTGTACATTGATATTGTGAGTACGGGGAGGCAAAATGAAAAAAAAATAGAAAGAATGTCAGACTTAGAGATATAACATATATGTAAAATATAAAGACATGAATTGATATATAGGTCGTTATTCACAGAAAAAGGCAATGTACATGTGTCGGAAAACAGTTTCAAACTTTAAAAAAAAATAAGATGTGTCTATGAAACACTTTTGTCCCGTGTGGCAGCTTATGACAAGAATTTAATATTTTCTTACATTCATCTCAACTTCTAAAGTCAAAGGCAAAAGTGTTGATACCTGATACCAAAAGGAAGGTCTTGTTACAAGGAAATCACCTGTAAAATATTAAAGCCCTACTTCTAACTGTTCAAAAGGTATAGCTAAGGTCAATGTTTAAAAAGTGGACAAAACTCTAAGGTCAGGGTGAAGAGGTCAAAATATTTATACACACTGAAGATCTTGTCACAATTAATACACAAGTGACGAATGAAAGCCCTAGTTCCAACTATGCATTAATGATGATCAAGGTTAAAGTGCTGTATTTTTTGTAAAAGTAAGTCAATCTCCGAGGTCAAGGTCAAGAAGTTAAATTTGATGGAATCCAAAAGGAATACATCTGGGAAATATGAAAGCCATAGGTCTACTCAATCAAAAATGATGGGCAAGGATAAAGTTTTTGCGGACAAACAAACGAACGGACAGATAGACAGATAAATTGTTTGATGGACAGATTTAAAACTATATACCCTTGAAACTTTGTTAACAGGGGAAATACGATATAAATACATAAAAAGTGATTATTTTAAACTGTGAAAGCCCCCAACTGATTTAGTTTTGCATACCCCCTTGATACTCACATGCTTTTGGGAGCAGGATTGCACAAAAATTGAGTCGCCAAATTCCACCTCTTCCCGGAGATGGCATATCTTTGTAAAACAAAATTTACTTGAAAATATATTTTGCTTTTTTTTTTAAATTTAATCATTTGATTTAATTTCTTTGATTTTCGCTGCACCTGATAATTATTAAACATGTTTATTTTCATAACTTTCCATCCTTCTGAATGTTAATCCATTATATAAACACAAATAAGATAAACACACATAAATAAACAAAATAGTTTGAAATTTCTTCAGATAATATTACGCTAAAAATTGTATATCTTATGGTGAAGCCTACTATACTATAATTACCAAAATTAAAATCATTTTCATGGGTAAAACTCTTCATGGTATTATTTTACGAGTATGACGTAACCTTTTACAAGGATATGTATAATATGTTTGTAATCCTTTCGAATATGATAAAAAAAAATTAGGAACAAATCTGCTACAAATTTATCAGAAACAATCATTGCATATAATTCCTACCTTTTTACAAAATTATTATTTTGTTAATAAGGTAAAACATATTTATTTAAAATAATGACACTATGCATTTTTTCTGCCTACATTTATATCCTGGTGCCGTGTATATTGTAAGAAATAAATATCACTTTGTTTTCAAATGTTTTATATGCAGGTTATACCTATGAAAAATTAATGACCCTCTCCTTGTCATGAAAGCTATGATTTTAAATAATTATGACGTCTCAATCATTGAAATTTAACCTTGGTGTAAATAGAAAGGTCGGCCGCATTGTTCTACATGTATATACATCACACATTGCCCCCTTAAGTTTTAATATGATTCTTGAATAGAATTGTTCAATATTTCATGATTGCTTATTTAACTTGATTGATGATTCACTTGTTGCTTCTTCCTGTTATAAAAAGAATCATAAGTGTCAAATACCTCATTTTCATCACAAACTTTTACAGAACTACATGTGACAGGGTCTACAGATTGTGGACAGTTGAAACACAATGGACCTCTTTTACTTGGATAATCTATGGTAAGAGAAAAATAATTTTTTCATTAATACTAGTAATTATGCTTTCTTGCATCGTTACAAAGTATTCAGTGGAATATATGGAGATAACGAACAGTATTCAATCCGAAAGTCCATTAATCAATACAAAATAGGACCTCCGAAACGTCAGACGTGGGATCAGACGCACCAGTATTAAAACAATTGACAGAATGTCTACTTGTATTAATATCAACACCTAAACAACTGTCTTACAGATATAAATATTCAACTGATACTATACATCGCTTATTTTGACTATTTAAATGTTACACTTTGATTTGCATTTCACGTAAGCTCTCAGAAATGGGGATCCTAATTGGTTTGCTAATAAAAAAATCAATTCTAATCTTTTAAGCAGAATTTGTTTTTTTATAATGTCATCTGAGTCAGACACATCTGTTGCATATTTGAAGACATTAATGGTCCTCTAAAAACAAGCGTTATGATAAACGTGAATTATTGACAAGTTGATGAAACAAAAATGTCAGCAGTCTCGTTTAAACATAATTATCACTTAGTACGTCCTGTAGTCGATATAATTACCTATTCAGGAAGTAAAATTTTAGTCAAATACTGGCTGACTTTTCATACTTTTTGTTAGTTCACTATTTATTCACTGAATTAAATAAGAATTTTTCCGTTAATTCCTGATCACAACAAGGAGCTCACGGCGAGTGTGAGAGGCCAGAGGGGGATGTTCACTCTTCCATGGCAACTGATTCAACCTCTGATGATTTTTGATGTCAGTTTTTGCTCTGATCCAATATCGTATTGTTTAATAGACTTTTGAACTTGAATACTGTTTGTTATCGACATAATTTTCATATTGTCGATGATTCGGTTGAATTAAACAGTGTGTAACAAACCTAATCCCCCACATCCTTTATGATTACAGGCATCAGAGGTACAGCATTCTATACACTGTTCAGTGTGGGCATAGGCAGGGTTGTGGCTCCTTAACGCTCCAGGTAACTTCCGTTTAGAACAGATCTAGGATATAAATAAGAATATAATTAAACTTATTGTAAGAGTTTTCTTTTTTCAATGTAAAATTTAAAGAATGTTTCCAAAATATTTCCTCCAATGTAACCATAATTCTTTTTTATGTTCTGAAAATACCTAACGTACTTGCTAGGATTAAAATATTTTTAAATTCTTAACTAAACTTAAACAATTTTACTTATGAATTGTTACCTATTGCATTCAAAAATCTATACATTTACATTTATGATGTAAAGAAAGAAAAGGAGAGAAAATTTTGCAACAGACTAATTAAACTATAAAACTAACCAATTAAAAAAATCATGATATAAAAAAAATGAAACAATATGGACTTATAGCCTAGAAGTCGTTACGTCATTTTTCACCAGCAAAAGAGAGTTCTGTGTTTTTCCCTCTTTTTTAACTAGCCTTTAACTTTAAACTGAAACATGTTTCCAGTTGATACACTTTCTAACTTTTACTTACTGATGGGGTGTGACATCCCGTGTCATATAGAACTTCTCCATTAATTCCTGTGTACCTCTGGGTAAAGCATACCTACAAGAGGATTACTTCTATATCTCTGACTTTAAAGTCAAAATTTACTACATAAATGTTTCTAGAAAATGCAGGCAAATTGTTCATCAAAATTGTTAAGTAGTTTTTACTCATTGTTTCATAAAGAAAAAATAACAAAATATTGCGCAAGATATCAATATTTATCTGTTACTCGAAGTACCGGTATTTAAAATGTTAATTTTTATACCCCCGCTTGAAAAGCGGGAGGGTAAACAGTAATCAGTATGACCGTCCGTCCGTCTGTTACGCTTTAGGGTACCAATCTATTATCCACAACTCCTCTTATACATGTACCACTGAATAAAATTTGATGAAACTTTCACAGAATTTTTACTACATATTGTCAATGTGCACCTCCAATTTCACTTTCTGATCCCACACATTTTCTGTGTTTCCCAAGCCAAACATGGAGACTGCCATTATATTCATACAGGAGATAAGGGTATCTTTAGTGCGCTCTCAAATGAACAATATCCGATAAAGAGTTTCTTTATAGACAGATTTTCACGAAACTTTTAGAAAGTGCAGCTTTAATGCATTTAATAAAACTTCAAAGAATATTTGGAAAAAAAAAATCTGGGACTGGTTGCAGTTTCCTACTGGTAGGGAACAAACCCTTTTAATTAGCTGTGGAAGAGTCCTTCATCAGAAGTGATATTTTCGGAATGAGATATTAGAAACCGCTTTCGTTTTCATTGTAGGCCATAGTGGACTATTGAGAGAAGAGACTTTTACAAGACTTTTACAATCGATTGGTCAGAAAACTAGAGGTACTGTGAGCAATGAGCTCACTAAATGATACCCCCAACCTCCCATATGATTATAATGGCAAAGTCCATGTTTTGCAGTGTCTGGGAAACCGAAAATATGTGTCGGATCGAAAAATAAAAGAGGAGGTGCACAATGACAATGTAATAAAGATTTTATGAAAGTTTCATTAAATTTCACTCAGTGGGTATAAGAGGAGTTGCGGATAAGAAATGGATACCCAAAGCGTAACAGACGCACGAACGGATGGACGGACAGACGGACGGACATACCGATTACAGTATACCCTACCACTTTTCAAGCGGGGGGTAAGGATATACGGAATCTCTTTTGCAATATAAACATTTACCTTAAAAGAAAGAAAAACGATACTAATGGGCCATTTTAAATCCAATATTACGTTGTTTAGAAAGGTAACGGCAACAACCTTACCCCCACCCTTCCCACTTTGTCCAACTCCTGCAAAATTAATATTTTCCGTTTTGAATGTTTCCTTATTTGATTGATTTCTTTAAAAATGAAAATTAAAGAAAATTCTATCTTTTACAATATACTAGAAGGTATTTTAAGTAATTGTTTTAAAGCCCCAACAATATTTTGCATTGGTATGTCATGTAAGAGTCCCTAAAACCATAGCTATAACCACTATTGATATTTTTCTTATCTATTATCAAAACCGTACTTAACGTTCAGAAATGTCAAAGAAAGTCGTCAGCATTAAAGGTCATTGCTTCTTGCTAAAGTACAATATGACCAATTTTACTGCAAGATTGCCCCGAGTTCTGTGTAAAGTATTAATTGTCCAGATCTTTATAAGCAATTCATCCGTTTGAATAGATGGTGGAAAGGGGATAATTCTACCACTGCGTACAGGGAAAACAAAAATATAATTAATTAGTTTACCTTTCCTTGATCACATTTTTGTATAGTATGACAATGTCGTGGAGAGATAACAGCTGTACAGCTCAAACAATGCAGCGCGTCTGAAAGAAAATAAGAGATACATTGTATATTTTTCCAGATAATCTACATGTATCCAATAATGTCAATTCAATAACAAATTTAAAATGGCACTATATTTTCAAATAAAAATTGTTTAAAATAACTTGAGGACACTTCTAATGCATGCATCTATCTATAATTTTTTAACAAAAAAAATTATTATCTCTCTTTCATCCTTGTCTTAATATGACCCACGAACGTGTACAGTTTACAGAATAAAAACCAACATGTATGAACACCCTTAATTGTTGCTCCAACAAACATTTTTAAATCTTAAAGAGGATAACAACCAACCTCATTACAAAATTTCAAATTTCTTTTAGTTTTAATGTTTATTTTATAAAGACATTATCAAAAAGCATTAGTACAAGTAAATTGTAAAACTCATGTAAATAAGTAGTAAAATACAAGGGAACACATATCTACCCTTTCAATTTTTTCGGCTCAGAAAGCCAATTTTGTAATTACAAATTACTTTCTTGTACGAGTAGTCGAGTACATTAGAATTTTTACAACTGTTATCTGAAAATATTACGTTGTAGCTATTATGACATACCGACTTCGTCGATTCTTGTTATCACAAAGATAACTGAAAATAAAATAAATGCAGATGGTATATATCGCACGCACTATCATAAAAAATGATACGGTAACAGTCACTTTAAACAGGAAAAGAAAGATAATTATTTCTGAAACATATAAAAAGATTATTCGTACCTAAACATACGCTAAGGATAGTCATTTAAATCCGGGAAACACTTAAACTATTCTGTGAAAAACTAATGACTCTAAAGTGTGCAATCTGTCAACCTTACAGCTGATAGCATATCTTTATCTCTTACTTTACTACGTGTCTGACATTTCAGGAATATGGGACTTCTACATGGAGAAGGATATGGAGATATGATTCTGTGAATTAACCTGGCTTGAAACTCAGTTTCAAAGATTTAATATTTACAAATATTATACTTTCAAGTAAATTGGTTTAATCTGATTTCCTATACGTTCATTTACTATAAACAAGTACGATGGCAACATGCGTTTTGTCGAATCCAAGAACCGAACTGTTTACCCGAGGCCGTTTGGTGATTGTACGATACAGGCGCGTTATGAGTTCAAAGCCGCCGTGACGAAAGCACTTCATTTATATATTGGCGAGCTTTCATTAGCTGCACCGATTTAAAAAGTATTTTAAGGTTTATAATACAAGGAAAGTATGTTATGTTGAATTATAAATTGTTCAAATGTTCATTTACCAGCGGTTAGAGATGCTTTGTCGAATACTATTTAATATTTTTTGTCTTCAGAAGCTATTTTAATATTGTCAAATCTTTCATACCAGGAATTTACATTGAAGCTTTTTATAAGAATATGAAAAAAAATTCGGCGTAGTGTTGTTAAAAGATGAACGACCTCGTTTTAAAATTATTTTCAAGAATATGTTAAGCTTTAAATTAAGTTTATCAAAATTAAAATATCGTCAAGATCCCTCAGGATTTGATTAAAATCTGAGTTTTGTAAAGTTATTTGCAGTAGAAAAGAAGTACAATAAGCGCAGCTGGTCAGGTTTCGCTTAAGGTCATACGCAGCGGAGTTTGCACTTCATTGAATTGGGTTTTTCCCTGGAGTTGAAGATTTCCCCGTAATGAAAGACCTGTGCGCAATATTTTCAATGTCTATATATGGATTTATACACCTATTCTAAAGCAGTTTTTGTTGTAAAAAAATCTGGAATTTATGTTTTGTAATTTTTGTACATTTATCTTTGAATAATGCTTTTTTTTAAAAAAAATTTAATATCTTTTTAAAACCCCTGGTGAGGCATTCTGATTTTTTGTCGAAGAACATGTAAAGGTATTATGAGTTGAAATTTAGAATATCTTTAGAAAATTATCAGTAGGTAAGGTACCTTGCGTATGTCCTTAAGTAAACAGTATTTATTCTTTAAAATTCACTGTAACATTTTGATTTAAAGAGAGCCAACAAACAGCAATCATGCTCAAATACATATATTACTAAATTGTTGCATGGAGTTTGCTGCTTATAGATAATTGATCAATTCTTACCTATCACAGGTGATTATATCAAAATATTTTATTTTCAAGTAATTTAGCTGAATCTGATCCGTCGAGAAACATTTGTTAAAAAGCACTAATACCCACTGAATAATGGAGTTATTCCCTCCAACGTAGTAACAGTCGACATTGCTTGAAAACGGGTGATCAGAAAAATGTTGACTGCACAAAATTTATGCAAGCACGCAAGGTTCATTTTCATATGCTTTTGTTTAAAAAATTGAGTATAAAATAATAAACATTGCATGAAGCTGAGCGTAAAATTGAAAATTTTCACTCCCCTAGAAAACCATTGTCAACCCAAGCAGCGTCTCAGTTGACAATAGTTTTCTTGGGGTTAAAATTTTCAATGCTACATCCACTACATGCATGCAATAAATACATAGAGGTCGCTTTTATCTTACAGTGAGGTTATTGACTGGTATTTTGTACTAAAACATGTGCTTTAATTTGAAGTGCATATGTACATGTAGTATTGGCAAAGGGACTTCTGTGTTTCTTATAATTACTCAGAATTATTTTTTATGTTATAACCAGTATGAGTAAATGTCTTTTACATGATAACTTAGGGCCAAAAGACGTCTACACCTGTCATATCCAGTCCTTGTTGAAATTAGACTAGAAAACTCATAAAATATATTTCTCTTTTAAAATGTTCCTTTTCTGCTTTTTCCTACTATTTAACAAATAAAACCATTTACAATTCAATGTAAAGGTAAGTAAAAACTTCACTGAGTGTTTAATTAACAATCAGCATTGATTTCATTTAATTCAATTTATTTATTTATTTCATTTCGTGTTCAAAAGCTTATCATCCATCTGATGTTTAAAAAAAATCAAAAAAAAAATCATGTAAACGTTACACAAAATTGGGAATATAGAGACTTATAGAGGAAATGTAAGTTTTTGCCACAAGGCTCGTCGTTCCAATCGTCATGTAAGCGTTTGACACAACTGAGCATATAGTGACTTTTCACAGAGGAAATCAAAGTTCATGCCACATGGCGCGTCGTTCCAATCGCCAGCAGGTAACAGATTAACACAGTCTTCAAAGCTTGCAAATTCTGGTCTAGCTATACTTGGTTGTTGTGGGTTCCAGTTTGTGAACTGGAATGTTCTGTTTGAATGACTCCACTTATAAACACCCTCCTCTTCAATGTCTGACCCCCCTGTCCAAACCATGCAACTAACATCGTAGGTTTTACATGAGTCTACAATAAATTGATAAAAAGATAAATTAATACAAGGAAAAATACAAGATAACGCGTTAATTTAAATGAAACCTCATCCCATCTCTTGTGTATTTGGTCTGCTCCACATGTGTATTGCTTGAATGAATTTTGAGTCGGAATCTTTATAATTTAATCCGATTCTAACTTACTATATGTTGTTTTAAAGGGAGAGGAAATGCATGCGAAGTAAAAAAAAACTTGTAGTATTTCATTTATGATCCATGCAATGACCTTGTCAGCAAATACAATCTATACATGTTATTAAGTCAAATGAGGAATAGGGTTTTTTTTTATTTATTATTGTTGAAACATTACTTTTACACAGAACTGTGAACGGATTTTCCCTTTATTTCCCGATCATGACAAGGAGCACACGGTTTATGTGACCGATCAACAGGGCCGGGGGTTCTCAATCCTTCATGAAAATGGCGCCTGATCCCATCTCTGATGTTTAAGAGGTATATGATTTCTCTCCTTCTAAATTGTTTAGTTCATTTTTTTTTGGGGGGTGGGGGGGTGGGGTGAATACGGTTAGTTATATATTTCATTTACCTTTTTTAAGAAATGTGTTTGTGATCCAGTCCGATTCTAAGCGGTCCTCAATTTCCACTTGATACCCTCCTTCTTTTTCACAAGCAATCTATACCGAACAGTGTCTATGTAAGTAAAACTAATGATTTGTATAGAATCTGATCACATTGTGTGCAATACAAAAAAGTTTAATTTTAAACATAGCATTTAAGGAACATGATCTTTATTAAGTTTTGATAAGCATTGAAAAAATATTGAACCTGTAGAGATAGCGTGAAAACATGAAATTTGCACATTTTGACACTAAGATAAAAGAATAACATCAACGACAATTGTTCGATTATTTTTTTTATATATATATAAATGTACAACACCTTTATGTGAAAAGTCATTTGCACTCAGTTATTAGCAGGAATTGAAATAAAAAGTAGCCTCTTGTCTGTTGAACGTTTTAATACCCTTAATACATTTTTTCTAATGCAAAAGGTCCACATAAATTGTTTTAACATTGATTTGACGAATTAGAAATTTTATTTTCTTCAATTTTATTTTTCAATTCAATTTAATTTTTTTATCATTTTAAAATGCTATACCCAGTATATGATAAGTTTTGTTAAAAAAAATCCTAAAAGTAACCAACATGCAAGCTACATTTTTTTAAATTATAATAAACGAGTTTCAATTTTTGAACATTTACATTTATTTACATGTACAAGGTTATATAAATACTTTTTTAATGTATTCTTTTTCTGCAAAAACCACCTAATACAGCAGCGTAATGAAAGTTTGTGCGTATATATAAAGCAAAGAATAGCCAAACAAAAATCTAGAATTGTAAGTGCAGCAATTAGTTTATCAACTTTTTTTCTACCTGTGCATCCACCCAGTTCATTTTGGTGGAATGGTACTTGTAAGCATGTCCATGATACGGCACCCATTCATCAGAACACATATTTGCTGTGTAAAAGATACGTGCATATAGGTTAAGTACTTGCTTTTTGAGAGCAAATTTGCAACGAAAGAAGAAAAACTAAATATTAAAAGCACATACCTTCTATTTTGTTTCGCCATGTTGATAGTTTCTTTACCTCTGCTTTCAGTTCAGTATTTTCTTTTTCATACGAGTTCAGCTTTGTTTCCATTAATTTCATTTTCCAAAAGATCTCTGATAAACCCTTATCATAATATTCATATTTTTCGTTTATAAGAGACTGGGAATATACCTGGGCAAAACAAAGAGCAAAGAAGGTACACAGCATTTTGAATTCATGTAATTGATAAGCATGAATGGAAGTTAGATTACAAAATAAGGAAATATTTGATTTTTTATTTTACAAAAATATTTTAATTCTATTATTTGTATTTTATAATGTGTTTACCGGAAAAAAATTTTGTTTACGATACATTAACGTATCAAGTTTTTAAATATCCCTTATTTGTTGATTAGATTTCTAAGGAAGCAATAAACCATGATGAAATTGTATCTGGCCTTATCTAAAACATTCAAATGTGATATAATTATGTTAAAGTATTACAATTTTTACTGTAAAAAAAGTATGGTTAGAATATAATTAAGGAAGTGTTTTTGTTTGTTTGTTTGTTCTTTTTTTTTTTTTTTTTTTTTTTTTTTTTTTTGCACTCCTATGCTGTAGCTATACATTTAGTAAACTTTTTTTTCTGTCGTAAACATTGTGCTTACAAAATATTATACAGTTATGGACGCTTTTGGTGTGGAATATGGTTTGTTATTCACCAGAAATATATCAATATTGACCGAGGCGAAGCTTACAAAATATCAGATATTATAGGTCTGACTTAATATTAAATTGTCCAATCAAGTACATCACTAAATAAAGGAAGAGACGCAGATCAAAAATTTAAGAGTTCATCATTTTTTTTTATCTCTTGATAGTGTTCTTTTTCAGAATTCTTTTATGATATTTGATGTTGCCATTTGTTTACAGATACATATCAAAATTGCATTTAAAAGATAGCAGAAGCCCATTGATTTGAAAAAAAAATGTTTTCATTGATGTTTTGCATGCAGATAACATTTTATCTTAATGGCAGGAAAAGGTAAATATATCTGTGTTCATTACATACACGTCTTAATTCCAGCTCCATGTCTCCCCCAGGGATGAACCGTAAAACCTTTGTTATTGAAGATGTCCATACTCCGACAAGTGAATGGTAAGATGAATAGTAATATACAAAGGGGTTATGGGAGTTAGCAGAACTGAGTAGGACGAAATATTTTTCCTTCATTCGTATTTGTAATAAACAAAATGTCAGCAATGTTGCCCACACACGTTTGGTTTGTACAAGTTACATGTTATTACATCATTTTTTGTATATACATGTATGTAAATTGCTCAGATTACAATGCCAGTTAGTAGATAATGATTCAATTTTAAAATCCTATGATGGATGAACACGAGTTTTGTAGTTAATCGATCTTTATTTTTAAGGTCATATACTCAATACAAATTTTCATATACCTGAAATTTATTATCTTTCCCCTCTTATTTTGGACGTTGTCCCTGTTTGCTCTGCCAACCATTTTTTTTTTTGGTCAACCGAGTCACTCAGGTGACCTAAATTGCTATCGGTTTCATCCAGCGTGTTGCGACGTGCGTTGTCCGTCATGCATTAACAAATAAACATTTTAGCTTCTTCTCTGAAACCACTCAACAAATTTCAACCTATTTTGCTACATAGCATCTTTCGGTGAAGAGAAACACAAATTTTATGATTTTATGATCTTATGATGAAGAAGGTGGCCTGTTCTAAAATTGTGCATTTCTTAGCCCCTTGGTCAGGGGCTCTGGTGTTACATGTAAGGCGGGTTTCTGTCGATTATATTGTGAACATGCATTAATTTTTTGAAAATCTTCTCGGGTGGGGGTATTAAACAAACTAACTACATACATAGTTATTATGAGGAAGGCTGCCTCTTCTAAAATTGGGAATTTCATGGCCCCAGGGTCAGAGACTTTACTAATTAGGAGTATTTTACCCTATCTTTGGACTTTCAGTTGGTCGTGACTTTCTCGGTGCTACGTAATGGCGAATGCTAGTAGATTCTCATTGGTTACGAAATTAACAACATAGAAACTTACAATTGTTGTTGATAACGATCAGACGACTTATGCCCCACCTCTGTGCCGTGAGAGAACTTTTAATTGGCTATTTACTACACCAGTTGACATTCGGCCGCATTTCTATCATATGTATATTTCAACGGTGAAAAGAAGCTGTGTAAATTTCAGAAGCTAATTAGGTAACGTCGAGAATGCCACGCCTTACTAAAAGTCCAAACTAAGCGTGTAATTCTTCTATATAGTGAAAATGCATTACTTTTTTTTAAAAAAATACCCTGCTCTGGATATTAAGCAGAAGAACTTCCAATATAGCTATGATTAGCATCAATCCTTTCAAATTTGTGCACTGCAATGCCCTTTGTTCAGGGATGTCGTAGAGGGGGGAGGCTCTGATGATATGCTAAAAGTGAATTAATGCTTTAAAATCTATTCCTAAGTATTGATCAAACATTTCTGTGATCAACAAAAGTGAGTTTCCAACATGTATGGACCCAAGGTGAGGGGTTCCTATGGGATGGGATAGTTGATACATTATCCTCAGGTGATCATGAGGACCACTTTGCTATTGTTTTTATTTGAATGGTCTGTTTCTTGACATTGAAGGCCATCTACATTTATCTGTAGGAAAATTATTTCTCTAAGGAATGAATTTAATAGCTACCCATTTTATACGGTATAAACTGGGTTGGGGCAATTTACGCTTTATAAACCACGAAGCGAGACTGACCTATTTTTTTTTTTAATTTAATCAATATCTTATTGTGTAAAGTAAGATTACATAATTGGATTGGACATCAGGCATGGCCTATATAAGTCCTCTCCAAGGTCAAGGTTACAAATGTTAAGAACTGACAAAAAATTACAATGATGAAAATATTCCTTATAAGTTACATTAAATTCTTTTGTTAACTAACGGTAGGAAAAAAGGAAATATATTAAATTAAATTATACAGAAGAATTATTACTAAGCTTATGCATATTCGCTATACAATATAATGACAAAAAAAAAATTAAAAAAAATAAAGAAAGAAGTGCAAACAAAACAGCAAAACAGAATACGTAAAGTGCAAAGAACTAATATTTAAGAAAATACAAAATAGAAGGAAATAGTAACATTTAAAAGTAAATAAATTCAAGCAATGACACTCAGTAAAGAGAAAAATAATAAAGTGCAAAGACAAATTACCAAGGAAAATACAACATATACATGGAAAATGGAAATGCTGAGACTTGAATTATCCTCGTTCAGATATCCACACTAAGTACAAGATGCTATTTCACTTAAGTATTGATTATACAGGTGAGCATTTAAATTACTAGATTCATTTCTTAATTGACAATGTATAATGTTTTCCTTGCGATTGCCATAATGAAAGATTTTGACATCCTTTATTCTATCTGCAGCAGGTTTCTTTAAGACATTTTTAAAACATGAAAAAGATTCAATACATTTTGTTTCAAGTGGTAAATTGTTCCATAATCTAATAGTAGAAGGCAAAAAACTGTTGAAATATGAGACTGTCCTTGCTTGAGGTATAACAAAATTAAAATTATCAATATTTCTAAGATTGTAACCATGATTTGGTGGCATAAAAGGTGTGATCATTTCTTTTGTAAATAAAGAGGGGATATACCATAAACAGTTTTATAGAACAAGAGTTTTTGTCTTTCCCTTCTCTTATTTAATGGTTCCCAACCTAATTCTAAATACAAAGCATTTCTAGATGACCTAAGGCGATAAAAATAGGAGGCACGTTTCCTTCGCCATGCACTCCGCACTTTTGAATGAACGTTGCGGACCCTTTGCATGAGACCTTAAAAACCGAGGTCCCGTGTCATGGTAGAAAGATAAAGAACCCTTCCTGTTCAATTGACCTTGAGTGCCCAGTAAAGGTCAAAATTCAAAGCCCTTTGTCGTTATTTTGTGACGTCTCTATCTCTGAAAACAGTCAAATGGAGCGTAAAATAATATACAACCAATCAATCATTCAACCAAGCTTCCCTCTTTAAATGCCTTTGCATCCGGCGACCGACCCCAATTTCATATCAGGCAGTGGAAGTTTGCTTTAAATGTAACCGAGAATGTAAAATATGATCAGGTACAGTACCCGCATCGTTATTCTTTACAGGATACACGATACGATAGGATACACGCACGATACGATAGGATACACGCACGATAGGACAGTATACACGCACGATAGGATAAACGCAAAACACGATAAACACAAAACACGATACACGCAAAATACGATAAACGCAAAACACGATAGACCTGATAAACGATCTTCACGATAGGATAAACGCAAAACCTGATAGGATTGTTTCAAAATGCGGAAAGTTTTCTGACAAGACGAAAAGATTATTTTGTTTAGTTACTGCGATATTTTAATTTAAATACTTACAAAGCTACAAATCTAAATTATAAAGTACATTAAATTATTATAATAAAAAAATTGAGATCACAGCAAATTTTACAAAAGTTGTTTATTTATTTAAATTTTTTTGGCAATGATTAAATGGATTATTATGAAATGGAGACTGTATTTTTTATTTAAATTTCTACTCAAGGGTGTTTATTTACGATTATTTGTGTAAATGTTGAAATTCTCATTAAGGTTGAACTATGACTCCTTTAATTATGAATATTTTAACATACATGTAATTGTTGCACAAAAATCCCTTACATAATTATGTGCCGTTTCTCACGGGTACTTTAATAAATTTATGATACTCTATAAATAGATTTATTATTTATGAAAAAATATACATTCAAACCTGATAAATTTATCTACATGTACTAAATTATTTCATGAAAGAAATTTGCGCAATAACTTAAATATTTGTATTTAATGTCTAAAGCTTACAATCTGCGGTGTATCCAAAAATCGCAATGAAATATTAAAATCTTAAGGAAAAAATACGTGTAGAGGACCGGCCGAGAAAAAGGTCCAAAGAAATCGGTTTTAAAGAACTATATAGTTCAAGAAAATTAATTTCGATAGTAGAAATCTAAATAATTGTTGAAATAATGGCGCTCAGCATTAATACTTGTAAATTGTGTCAACTGAATATGAATCTGCTACAACTGCACAAGTACATGTACGTTTACGCTAAGTTCTTTCTTACGTACATGTAAACATTCATATATCAGATACTTAAAACCTGGTATTAATTAACGAACATTGAATGATAAAATACCTTTTTTTCCTTTATGATACAAAACACAAAAATGTATAAACAAATATTAAAAGGGTGAAATGCGACTTTTCCGACTAGATATTTATAAATCATTGATCTTAATTTTTGTGTGTACTGTTTCTAATGCAAATGAATTATTAAACCCTGAAAATTATTTTAGACTTACCCGGTAATCTCATATACGGCATATTCGCAGGGCGGGATGTTGAAAGTCCGTGACCAATTTAAAATTAGATAAACATGGTCTAACCAAATAGCCAAAAATAATGTTGACTTCTTAAAAAAGTTATATACGTATGGAATAAAATCGATTAATACTATAAATTGATTGGGTGCAATACATTTACTCGGACTTCTTTTTTTATTATTATAGTAAAATACCATAGAAAAAATTAATGCGATCAAATTTTCATAATTTAGAATGTTAGAATTATTTTAATCTTTTCTACGATCAAAGAAACTGTTTCCTAGAATTAATTCTGTCTGTAACCCGATGTAAACCCGGTGATCCGAAAGTTCATGTACCATAAGTGCAGTATTTTTTTTTTTTTTAAATCATGAAAATACTTATTTACATAACCATAATGGAAACATCATACAAATAAAATAAATCAGCGGATTGATTTAAGGGACTTTGTTTCATTAAATTGGTTTATTATATTTTTTATTCAAATTCAAGCAAGGAAATGATTTTTTTAAAATCCATAAATTGTACAATTTATATTTAAATAAATGATTAAAAAAATCTTTTATGAGTTTACATGTGGTTCACACAAGGTATGAACAGAATCCCGAAAATAGATACTGTTTGACAAAAGGTGAGAGAGCAGTTCAGGTATGTTGACGGTGAACACACACGGGCCGAGCTGTCATTTAGGGGGATAGGGGAGAAGGGGTAGGGGTGTTGACCGCACAGGAAGGCAGTGTGCTGATTAGAGAGGCACACATACGTGTCAGTTTTATGGCAAGGAAAGCTCTTTCAGTTTATTTCCACGCCGCAAAGGTAAGCTGTTAAAAGTCATCATGTTTTTTCCTGTTTCTTATTTTTAGATTATCTAATGCCAGATAAAATTAATGAAAAACTTCTATTTAATAGTAACTGCCATGGTGTGATTAATCGGGTAGAGCATTTTCAAGCATTACATTTTATAATTTTGATTTTTTTTTTAAATTTAGACATATTAAGGAATTTAACTAATTAGATAGTGATAAAAATAAATTTAAAAAACAGAATCAGTGCTAAAGTTATCTGGATCAATGTTTTAAATGCTTCGTTATTATTTTTTTTTAATCAAGAATTTAAATAATTGTGCATACATGCAGATCAGAGGCAAAAACACATTCCTAATAGTACCAGATGATTGATTGGGAGAAATTGAATATTGCATTTAAGATACATATCAATCCTCTGCAAATTATCATTATAATTTTTCTGGAGGGGAGGGGGTACGCATACACCGTGACTTACCAAAAAAGCATCCTCTAGTGACTCTGACTAATTCAATAAAATCTTATTAACATTTAATTTTGACCAAAAAATCATACAATTCGATGAATTAAGAAAAAACAACAGGGGATCGGTTATTTTATTTTCAAAAATTAACTTTGAATCTCTGCTTGACTATGATATGATTATTTTTTAGATTTAATTTATTATTGATTATTTATTTTATTAATTATATTATTTATATATTTATTCTTTTCCTTCCACGCTTTAATATTTCTTTTAATGATGAAAAACTAAGGGAAAAAACGTTCTTTTCTTGGTTAAAATAATCTTATTTTTGTTAACAAAACGAAAAAGAAACTCGGAATACTTCGGTAGTTTCTTCCTGTAGTAAAGATAAAAAGCGAGGGTTTCCGAATATACACGATAAACGCAAAACATGATACACGATAGAACCTGATAAACGATCTACACGATAAACGCAAAACACGATACGATAGGATACACGCACGATACGATAGGATACACGCAGGATAGGACACGATAGATTTGTAAAGAATAACGATGCGGGTACTGTATCAAATTGGTTTAGACGTTTTCGACTTAATTCAGTTTATTTTTTTTTAATGCTGTAATACTAGCTTTATATAGTATAGAGTTGTCACGTAATTTCTTCCTTACTGATATTTTTAATCTTATCTTAGTTAGCTCTTTATTCTAACTTTTTAACTGCTACTAAGATTCGTATTTCAATAGATAGTTTTCATATGACCTAAATTTAGCAAAAGTTAGTTCCCGTTGGCCGCCATACTGGAGGTCCAAATGCTCATATTCCTTCATTGTTCAACCAATTTTAAATTTTTATATTTGCGATTTTGAATTAGGAATCATTATTTTTCTGAAGTATATAAATTTTTGGAAGCCTCCTTTATTAAGAAAAAATTATTAAATAAAGATTTTCCACCAAATATTTCTGCTATATTTTCTTAAACTTGGTAAGACAAAGAGGAAAACTCACCGAGTCGACCTCCAATATGGCGACCAACGGGAGGTAACTTTTGCTAAATTTGGGTCCATCGAAAACTATCTATTCTTAATTTTACTTTTTTTAAACAAGACATATCACATGTATTTCTTTTATTTCAGTTGCATGTATCATATATATTTTTAAACATTTTATATATAAATCAATGTTTTTGAGTCTATTTTATAGTTTGATGTAATACTATCGTAAAAAAATAAAAGTGAAATTTTAATTCATTTAACTATGATAAAATTACATCGAATTCGATTAAGACTGATTTGATATTCAACATCAACTCAACTTAAGTCCTGGCACATTTGGTCATGTATGGACCGTTCACACAGAAAATCAAACTTCCAGCTACATAGTGCGTCGTTCCAATAGCCAACAGGAAGAAGGCTCAAGCAGTTCTCATAGCTTCCCACGTCCAGAGAGCCTATACTCGGTTCCTTAGTGTTCCAGTTGGTGAACTGGAATGTATTTTTGGAGTGACTCCATTTAAAAACGCCCTCGGTATCTCTGTCATTTCCACCAGTCCAAACCATGCATTGCCCATCGTAGGTTGAACATAAGTCTACCAAGAAAATATATCTTCAGAATTATGATTCTTTAAACAAACAACTCTGAATTTTCAAAGTGTTTAGGAAAATATATACTATTTTGATTTATTACATTTTACTTGTCTTTATCCGAAAGATTTCTGTTGTCTAATCATTTTAAAAGAGCTTTGTTTAAACCGTCTTGAAACTTGATAACTCCTTAGTTAATTTCACTTTAACAATGAAAACTCATTGGTATTTTAGTGATTGTAACCATGACTTCATACAATTGTTTCCAATTTTTTTTATTATTAAAAAAACTCTTGAGGGTTCATATAAAAACTTTATTTTTTATATTTTTTGTATGAAATATATGGATATAAGGAACAATATTAAAGATCAAATGTTTATAAAACAATACAAAACAGGAGCAGAGCAAATACAGACCTCCAAAACATCAGAGGTGGGATCAGGTGCCATCGAGGAGTGAGCATCCGATATATGAAGTGAAAAAATGGTTGCATTTTTTTCTAGAATACCGCTACATATCATCAGTACCGTTCACGGTAGCTCAGTCGGTAGAGCGCTCCGTGATGGGGAGGTCCTGACCCAGTCGATAAAATGGGTAGTAACTGTTCCTTCGCCATGCGCTCGGCAATTTGAAGTGAAAGTTGCGGGTCCTTCGGATGAGACTTTAAAAACTGAGGCCCCGTGTCAGCGGCAGGCGTTGGCACCATAAAGATCCCTCAATGCTCAATGGCCCTGAAAGCCGAGTAAAGGTCAAAATTTGAAGCCCTTCACCGGCATACGGTGTCGTCTCCATGTGAGTGAAAATTTTCATTATTTTTATACGTGGTCCTTCAAAAGAGTATAGAGAACACATTAAATATTTTAAGTTGAAAACCTATGTGATTTACCTTTTTTAAGAAACATGTCTGTGATCCATTCCGATTCTAAATTGTCCTCGATTTCCACAAGGTATGCACCCTCTTTTTCACAGGCAATCTAAACTTATTTCGATGATCATGCTTAAATTATTATTTCCATTCTGAATATATTGATTGGTTTCAAATTAAAAACAATAGATATTATTTGTAAGAATTTTTTTGTTGAAACAATATTTCGACATTGCTATTTTTGACATAACAGAAGACCAAAACACAAAGTGATTACTCACTCATTGAATAACTCAGGAGGCGGTTATTGTCAAAATGCGAATTGGGAATGGAAAATTTGATATTTAAGGGGGCCGACTATAGTTTCCATTGCGCAATATCTAGTAAATAGTAAAATGAAGCGTACTTACTGTTTTAATGCAACTTTTTTTCGCTTGATTATTAAAATTAAACAACGTTAAGAAATTATAGGTATAAAAATGTAATTACAATTTGATATAACTGATTTTTTAACCGATTTTTCAATTGATAGGTAGATTGACGTCGCTGCAGTGTGTTTTTGACCTTATGATAATCTGTAGCTCCAAAAGAAAGGGGTAATAAAATATTATTTAAGAAAAAGTAACAAACATACGCTCTTGAAATTTTAAACACAGAAATTTTAGAATATCTCTAATATTTTTATTATGTTTTCATGTGAATCCATTGTGTACGTCATATTTTGTAATTCTGTATAAAAATAGTAAAATTTGCTAATTTTTTGCATTCTGAGATGCCCCCTCTGGTAACAAGACGGTAGAATTTTGTGTTTCTTACATATATAGTATAATATAGTATTACTCATCAAATATTATAGTTTGAACAAAATGTCTATAGTGGTATTTGTATAATTTGCTTTAAAGTGTTAAAAATTGGCATTTTCCTATATAATCCTGTAGTAAATGTACCTGTATTTTAAGACGGTCCCTCAAAAATACCTGAACGGTAGATTTACCCTAAACTTTGCATGTACATTGAAGTTAATGTAAGTTATATATGGTATAAAAATGAAGAGTTTCGCTATTGTAGTTTTCACACAATAAAACTATAGTTGGTCCCCTTAAAGCATGATAGTTTAACTCTGCAAAAAACACTTATAAGTGCTAGAATATATATTTTAAAATAACAAGTAAAAGTTCAAATACTTCTCTTATTGCTAATCTTTCTTATTTAACGAAAACTTCGTTTTTCCGCAATTTTTTTTTTCTTCATGCCTTGACTTTTAAAATTTAATTTTTTGTTATTATGCATTAGTTTAGATACTAGTATTACACAGTCTTTATTGATTCATAACTCTGAACTATTTACCTGGTTTATTTGAAATAAATACGGGTACCCTAAAATATTCAAACTTAACTAACAAAGTTAATACAAAAACCTTGTGCATGTTGTTTAGGTATTCTTTTACCTGAGCGTCAGTCCAGTTCATTTTTGACTTGTGGTATCTATAGGAATGTCCACGATAATGCACCCTTTCAACAGAGCAAACGCTTGCTATATCAAGATAAAACACGTTTTTTATATTCATTGATATAAATACTTCTAGTTATCTTTCCTCGTGATTCCTACCAAATTAAAAAAAAATAGTTCATATTTACAAACATGATCGAGTATTAAATTAATGTTTCTTTACAACTATTATTTAACAAACTACACTTCTCCTTCAAAAGTGACAGTCAAATAGCATATTTTGCAATATTTTTTCAGATAAGTTAATTAAAAGTAAGATATAATTTAATTTTAAAATTGAATTACTCTTGCTTTATAACAAAGCAAACTGAAAGATAAGGAAATACTTAATTTAAAAAGTGAATAGTTTTATTATTGAAAAATACCTTTTGAATTGTTTTGCCATTTAGAAAGTTTCTTTATTTCCGATTTTAATTCCATATTTTCCTCCCTATATATGCTGACTTGCGTTTGTAGGGATTTCAGCATCCTTAACATATCTGATAAACGCACGTCACATCGCTCGCATTCATCGGAAGTCAGAGACTGGGTATACACTTCGGCTAAGCGAAGCAGAAAGAAAATCATAAACATCTTTGAAGCTACGTGAAATAAACAACATATTATAAATTTTAGAAATTATGAAAAAGGAAACTTTTAAATCCTAGTTTTACAAAATCTTTTTTTTTTTGCATTGCTTTCATTAAATAATGATAACCGGAAATGTTTCATGTTAATTTCCTGGTCAATCGTCATATACTAGTAAATGGGTTTCATATATGCAATGTAAAAAATAAGATATCTTTTTTACCCAAGTAAAAAAAGAACTTCAATAGTTTTTTGCACAATCCTTGTATTTACTGACTGCTGTATTTTCACTCTTTTGTTTATTTTTAAATGAAGAAAATGATGCAAAATAAAAATATTATTCATTATTAAAGACAATGAAGACAAATATAGATTCTTAAAATCATTAAATTTTATTTTTGTTTTGGCGATTGTGGCCACGACCTACATTTTACAATTACTGACTTTTGATGAGGTCTACACGTGACTATACGAACCTGGTCAGGTATTGGTTCACCGAGGCCGAAGGACGAGGTTAACCAATACCTTACCAGGTCCGTATAGTCAAAAGTAGACCGAATTCAAAAGTCAATAACCGTTTTATTAAATGAACGGGAATTTTACAACACTTTTGACACTTTCGTTCTCTTCTGCATCAAATTTAAACACTCATAATAAAATGCAAAGTGTAACAACACTTTTCACATGTTGTTATACTTCAACAGCTTAACAACCAGTAGTTGAAAATGGAAAACAATCAATACTCAACCATTTACTTTCAAAAGCGTTAAGTCTCCTTGGTACTGTTCATTGGTCGAAAAAACTGTAATCAAATCTATGGTTGGTCAAAAAGGAAAGCCCGAATAACCCCCCCCCCCCCCAGAACGTCATATGAGGTGAACGCACTCTGCGGTACATCTCAGCTAGGAAAATGCGTCTAGGTCAATCAGAGAGCACCAAAATTCCTGATCATTTAATAAAATACAATATATACTTAATTAATCGTTATAACATAACTCCTTATAAACCTTATTCTCATAAACCTTACATCCTTATCCTTATAAACCTTATATCCTTATCCTTATAAACCTTATATCCTTATCCTTATAAACATTGTATCCTTATTTTTATAAAGTCCTGAAGATTTGAATACTGACAACATTCCGCCGTGACTCTCCTTCACATTTCTTTATATCCAGGTCGTGACTAATGGAACTTCTATCACATGTATGACTGTCTAAACCAATGTCTCTTACATTTCACATGACAAAGTACAAGGTTGCCTGAAAATATTTAGAAAACAGCGGCAGAAAAATGCACTGGCAAAATAGATTAACTTGACAAATGCATATGAATAATAAATGTATACTTAATGTTATAAATAAGGGCAATGGGAGGGTGGGATTTTTAAGCTAAGAGACAAACTACACCCACCTCTCAATCCAACTGTAACAAATATTGTGGCGTCAAAATTTAACAGCAATATCGTCATCTATAGCAGGGCATTACGCGCACAAATCCAAGGCGCGGATCTAAGACATAGTAGTAACCATCGCTATAATAATTGGATTTATTTCGTTTAGGAAATAAATCATATTATTAAAGACGAAGAAGACAAATAGAACTTCTTAAAATCATTTATTTTTGATTTGGCAATTGTGGCCACGACCTACATAATACGTACAATATATACTTTATTAATCGTTATTACTTAACTTCTTATAAACCTTATCCTTATAAACCTTATATCCTTATCCTTATAAACATTATATCCTTATCCTTATAAACCTTATATCTTTATCCTTATAAACTTAATATCCTTATCCTTATAAACATTGTATCCTTATCCTTATAAAGTCCTGAAGATTTGAATACTAACAACATTCAAGCTGGTACTGGGTTAACAGATACTCAGATCAGCAGAAGTTGTGAAAAAATACTTGAATCAAGGAAGGCGTCTCGAAAAACCGCCAAATGGTTGTCCGTTGTAAATGACAACTACCGCCAACGAAGTTAGGTGGAATGAGAGACGCAAAAATATGTGTAGATGTGACCACATCTTGAAGCTCAAACTACATATTTAACCTTTTATAGAAAAACATATTCTTGTTAGGCCCTTTGTAAGTAGTATGGCAAGAAACAATTACTGAAATACGACAGGTGAACTCCATCACTACTAAACATTTCATTTGAATCCCAGGTAATCTCTTGATATTTGATAAAGAATCCACCATTGACAGTAACTAAGTGATTCATAAAATTATTGAGTCTAACAGTAGCACGATTTTGAGTTTGAACAAAAAAAGCCATGAAATTCTTGGCAAAATATTGGACCAACCAATTGTTGTGTTGGGGAGTAGCTTCTTAAGTTTTTTGAGTATTGAACACATATTGGACCGTAGTTGCAGCAATGGAATTTTACCTATATCATTCCCTCCACAATGAATAAGTAAAATTTCTGGAGGTGATTCATAATAACAAAACAATTATTTTTGGAATAAGGTCAAACCATTTCATACCTCCCTTTCCCTGCCTAATATTCTGTAATTTCTTAGTTTTAAACCTAAATCTACACCATCAAAGGATTTTCATGCGTAGTTGAATGCCCATTCAATAATTGAAGATCCAACAATTTAAATAACCTTTACTTCTCCTGTATAAAAATATGAAAAATCAATCAAGGATATCACAAAATCCCAATATACCTTTTGAAGCATCTGAACTCCATCTACCTTGCTTTTTTATTTCTGTTTCTTAGTGACCGTGAGAGAAACTATCTGAAACTAAACTATCCGCACCAATACGGAAAGAGTGAGACTTGTACTTTGAGTTTGGAAGACGTCCCTTACTACTTTTATTTAAAATATGAATATATCTCAATTAGAGATCAAAGACACGTCTGGAAGAATATACTAGTTTTCTAGTGTTTTATAAAGACTTTGTTACTGTGGCTGCAACGTTATTGTTGACAACCTTCATGAGCGATCACGTTACACGAAGGATTCCGCACGATTAATGTACGACTAAACCTGTTACACGAACGATAATTCACGCACACGGTTCTATACGTTACACGATTGCTAAGGCAAACGCACACTCAAAATGGTTTAGTTATTTTTCATGGATATTTTCAAAACGAAATAAGGCTTAATACATATTTTTGATTTTACGTTATTATTAATATCATTTCTTCTACTTTGAAAAATAGAAGACAAAATAGAAATGAATATTGAATGAACTAAATACATGAAAGACATACTTATTACTTTTGATTACAAAAACATCGTTTTTTAGTGTGAATATTTCACGCTGGAAATTTTTTTTATTTTATTGCTTCTTTAATAAAATGTCTAAAAATAACATGCATAAAAATACTTAACGTATTCTAGAAGTTTTCTTTTCACAAATTGTTTTAGAAGATTTATACAACACCATATACAAACATTGCGATGTAGCTCACAGCTTCTTCAAGAATTGGAACTCATCAACTCCATGGAAAAAGAAAAAAATGTTCAAACTACCTTGCATATGTCCTTATTTACAAAAATTCTAGAGACATAGAATTTCCCATTTGCTGTAATCACTTGTTATTTTCGAAAACTGAAATTATTACGAAAATATATTCACAATCTGATTTATAGGGAACATAAGGTATCTGAAAGCAAATTAAACCCACTACATACGTAAGTACATTTTTGTGTGTACAGTGAAACTTGTATAATCTAAAGGGTGTTAAGAAAGTTCACTCAATATTTTCTTTCATTTGCATAAAGAGATACTATGTGAACTTATTTACAGTTTGTGATATTTTATGTTTACAGAGTCCATTCTTGCTCTAATAAGGTTTTAACTGTCTTTACTTGAATCAATAAGGGGAGGGCAGGTATTTAAACAGATGATGTATGTTCAGAGAAATTAGAGATGACGCATATTTGTGACATATATATTAAGCATACAGGTAAAAATATTCTTTCAAATACAATGCAAAATTTATCAAGTCGCTGATTTTTTTTTTTTTGACATGATACTCTTATCCTTTTTAAAGCATGCAACCTATCGTTCTTTTACCTAATAGACTCATCAGCTTGTCTGCTGCAAGATAAGCTATGAAAAAAGTGAATTATCCTTTATTTTCACTCAAAATGACCAGCATTTCTATCATTCGGGTGCTTTAAAGATGTCATATTTATTTTCATAAAGCAGAAAGCCCTATAACTTCCTGCTAGAAATGAATTGCCATAAATCTAAAGCACTCTTACGATTTTGTCAGACTTGAAAATTCATTCTCTATAGTAAAGCACTATTTGAAAATATTTCATCATGGAACGAACTTTCTTAACACCCTTTAGATGTTGAATAATCCAACGATGTAAACTAAAGGTACCGTAAATCTGGATTTTTTTACGTCGATTTTATTTTGCGAATTCAGGTCAAAATGCTGTTGACCAATTTTTACGTTTCAAAATTTTGCGAATGACCGCTGCTTTGTTTACATTTTCTTATTGTAATTTATTTTTAAGAAAAATATATTTGTTAACGCAATGAACTCGCAAATTTGCTGAAAATTTATCTACAGCAAAAATTTCCAGAAATACAGTATTTTTCAATAGATTAATTTATTTTAAAAAATTCTTATCCGGAATTGGTCTGTTCCGGACAATTTCTTTGGAACCAGTGATGTTCAGACTAGACAAACTTTGCTGTTTGAATGATGAATGGCGAAAATGAAAACATCAGACAAAGCATTCTAATAATCCTCATTTCCGGCTGATAATAATTCACATTTTTTTGGCATCTGGTTGAAATGTTATGGTGCTCTGTTTATCATCATACTAGAGAATCTGAAGTAGGTCATATTTGGGACCCTGCCTTGGTACACAGTTTCCGGACTATTTAGATCGTTATTCAGGGCTATATAATGACACGAATTGTACCACCACCCGCCACTTCCGGTTGCACAATTTCCTGCGTTATTGTCGTTATCGTTGTCAAACGTGGTAAAACGCTGATTATTGATTGATTTGGTATCGTTGTATCGAAGAATAAAGTCACCTTAAAAAGATCTCAAATATCAATGATAACCAACGTACATGAAATATGAAAATACTAATTAGCTCAAATGGAGGAATACTAGCGTAAGTCTCTGTCATACTAAATATCATTTTTATGGCATACATTTTTTGTGTACATAAACCGACTTGTTTTATGTTGTGAATAAATTATAACTTATATTCTAAATGAAAGTTATATATAAGTTTTAACGTATATTCTAAATGAAAATTTTCTTAAAATCTATTGTAAATAGTCTCAGTGCCTTTTTGTTATTAAATGACGTAATAATGCAAACAGATTACTGAAACAACAAATTTATAAAATGTTAAAAATTTAAAAAAAACTTTTAATTTGAAATTTGAAAAAAAATCTCAATTTGATATCAAATACACGCACCTGTTCTCTCATGAAAGATATATTTAGATGATTAATATTCTAATGTTCTTATAAACATTTACCTGCATCCCCCGTGGTCGGTCCCTCGATATGCAGTCTGTACTTATCACTTTCTGGTCCAATTCTGATAAAATGGTACTTTTGGTACAAATAACTACCATTTGTATCAATTATCCCAATGTACAGCTGATTGTGATGTCTGCTTGTTAGAAGATGAACTATTTCATTCCCTAAACAATAAAGAAATTTTTTGAAGTTAAAAAAAAGTGATGCACAACCGATAAAAAAGTCAGGGTCATTTCAATGTAACATATGAGCGAAGGATACATATAGGATCTCCCATGATGTCTCCATCTTCCACAGTGGGATTCGAACCGCGACATAAGGATCAACTCTTTACTTCGCGACTCTAGAGCAGACACTTTAACCACTGCGCCACTCGTGCGACTTTAACTTCAAGTAACTGACATACCTAACCAGAACTCTGCATTTGTCCCAAAACCGTTTTTGTAATCTTGCCAACCTCTTGTGAAATTAACTGTCAGACTTTTTCTATGTTGAACCATCTGAAACAAAAACCAATAAACACATTTGATTTGAAAATGTGCTGATACCAAAAAGGGACATGGAAGAATCAGGATAGGTTTATGTTTTATAAAATTATGCACTGTATGTAAAACAAGTTTAATGTACAGGTTTTCTTTTTTATTTCAAATGTCACGGTAATGAGTGGTATATATAAATTCTCTTAGAGTAAAAAAAAAAACGTCATAGCAATGAACACCATTTTGCATTGAAAAAATGATGCGGTAATCTTAATCCTTGCAATATCTCTGAAATATTTATTCCGAACCACTTTGAATTCATATTTTTTTAACGTTTATTATTATAAAAGTTTTATTTCTCCAATATAAGTGTACCTCGAAAGACAGACGGATAAAAACTAGGGGAAAAAAATCTTTAAATATAAGCCAAGCTACGTAGACAAAAGGAAGATAATACGCACCGTCCATCCTCGAGGAGCCACGTCCATATTACAATGAACATACACACTCTTTTCATTCGATCCCCATGGGTAAATTGGATAAATTCCAGATCTGTTAAATCCCCTTTGTGATAAGTCCCAACAGTCAAAGGGAGCATCATCTAAATTTTAAGATTTATTTATCTTAAACTTATAGATTTTCATCTTTGTATCTGTTATATGATTGTGATATGAATAATACGACAATAATAAGAAAAATAGATAAAATCAATATTCAATTGAACAAGCTTTGCTTCCTAGTATACAGAAAATATCTTGTATTTATCTTCTATTTTGAAACTTTTGTGAAATAGCAAGAGAAGAATAAATTTAAAAAAGAAGAGAATAGAATAGAAACAACACAAGTACCTTTAGTTTTGTTCAGGTAAGTTGATAGTCTCTCTATTTCAGCTTTTAATTCCATATTTTCTTCTCTGTATAGATCTATTTATGTTTCTATGAACTTCAATTTGCTGAATACATCTGATAAACGTTTGTCGCAAAGTTCGTTTTCATTTATAAGATACTGAGAATATACTCCGGCAAAACAAAGAGCACACAAAATTTTCAGCATCTTTCGAATACGTGTAAAAGGTAAAATTAATCCTAAGAAGGGCTTAAGTAAAGAATATGGAAATGTTCGTTGTTTAATATTTTTTAAAATATCAAATAAATCAGTTCATTTTAATTCCTTTATCAAAACTTGAGTGTTGTTCAAATATTTTGTTTCTTAAATAAATAATTATAAAACGATAAACCAAGGTAATAGAGCTTTTTACCTGATCATAAAATACAAATATAGCTACTGATTCATTGTGTTGGACTTTTAAGCAATTTATTTAATGCCATTCTATTTGATAAATGCCATTATAGTCACTGTGATATTTTTGCAACACATATTTCTTCCTTAAGATTTATTGTATTAAAAAGCTTTTCAATGCATCTATGTGAATATCATAAATACAACTTTCGAAATGAGAGAATTTCTTTTCAGGAAATTCAATTCTTTAATTATGTCCTTATTATTTCTTATTAGAACCCTCAATACACTGATGAACAAAAATATTAGACTTGAGAAATTATTTAGAGTAAAGGAGAATGTTTTGAAATAACTAAATTGAATATTAATTTTTAGTAAAGGGAGGGAACCTTTTTCATAGAGGAAAAGAACCAGAGACAATGATGCAATGAAAAGTAAAATCGCTTTTGCGTACTCAAATGGAAAAATACATGCAAATGAAGTTTACATATACTTTATCGTAGTCTTATATAATATCTGAAGTACTTGGATTTATTTTACATTATGCAGATGACAATTTATATTCTTCTTTTTTTTCTAAAATAGTGGGTCAGTCTTACTAAACAAGGTACCCTGAAATTAAGTAGAAGTCGGTGAAGGTTCTTCTAAATTTACCATCAACACCCCTACTAATGTGTTCTGAACCTTTTATTTTTCGGTGTTCTGCAAATTATAAAACGCGATGAGTTCAGAGTAACTCTGACGGTTGCTCTGGCGAGAGTTAGCGAGACTTCTGAGAGATAGGGTAAATTATTAACGGAAATGTGGCTAGGAATGTGATAAGCACGTGGAGACATGGTAAACAGAAAAGTTATGTTGCGTTTTAGTTTTTACCACCCTGTAATATCATTCTGTAGAAATATGCACTTCAATCGATCTTTCTTGAATTCATTCAAGTATAAATTATAAGTATTTTCTATGATACAGTTTTCTGCTGTCATGAATTAAAATTTCTTTTTGGACAAATATTTTGCAATGGAACTGGGACTATATTTGTTGGCGTCAAATTAGCAAATGAGGCACCAGTGTGACTTTAACTGACGAATCAGATGAATGAGCGTTGCATTATGGGTTACTATGCGAATACTACAGGAATTTTACGCTTGATAAATCCCTTTATTGTACTATCGGTGAATACAATTGTCAAGTGGATTCCTTGGTCAACACACGTGATCATGATGCTGCTCGTTTTCCTTAACCTTAAAGTGCTTGAGTTCTGAACTTGACACTAACTACGTATACATTTTATTAAACATATTTTTCTTTAGTTAACAACAAATTAAAAACGCCCGTGATATTTTTCATAGTTTCTCATGCTTGCATTTTGTTCATAAGAACATTTTTTTTTATTTTGCACTCCACTGACATCATCATAGATTGACCTGAACCACGTGTTCGAAGTAAACGTATTCAATCAACAATACTTGATATCGCGATTACTTAACTTAGCGGAACTCTTTCGCGATGGAGGTAGGAAACGTCTGTTGGGTGGGGGCAAACGTGCTATTTAATATAATGCAAGATCGATCATTGTAGCATTTACAAGGACAGATAAGTATAAAATCCTGGTGGAATACTTTGCTAAACAATCGCTGAACCAGCCTAATAAATTTTTGAGAGGAGCCAATGCTAAATTGTTACATTTTTAACGATATTTCTAATTAAGCTGACTCTTCTAGTTAAATTTTCATTGAAAATCGTCACATTTTAAAGCAGATAAAATATTCTAAACTTTCCTTATATGACAATGTACTATTTGGAGTTCAATATCTGGCAAAACATTGTGATTTCGGCATTAAATTGTTGGAATCAGTTGATTGTCACTACTGTAAACAATGTCATGTGCCCCAGAAATTTATACCTTTCTCGACTCCCCCGCAAAAGAGCGGTAGTAAGTTAGATAACTGCGAGGTACTTATTGGTAGTCGCGATATTACGTATTGGTCAGTTGCTCGTGGTAAAATCCTCTGTGCGCATTAATAGCAATAGCCATGTAAGGCAAACAAAGGTTTGTCAGTGTAGGAGATATTACACATTTTTTATCAGCGTGCCGGTCGCTAGTGAGCTGTAATTTTTGCAGTAAACTATGATAAGATGAATAATTGTTATTTAACACCCCCTCCCCTTATACCACCCATTTCTGTTGAAAATCATGAAAGTCTTTCAGAAAGGTGTGGAAACACATTTTTCACAGGAAATGTTTTCAGAAGAAACAAACTATAGCAATTTCCTATTTACTGCCAATTTTATTTATA